GATCAGATGAAAACATTTGTATTTTTGTTTATCCTCGTTTACTAAGATTAATAGGTTGCTAGAGGTCTACTGAGTACAGCTTCTCAGTCTTGGCACTATTGATTATGTTGAATGTGATTAACAACAAATTAGACATTGCAAAAGAAAATATTATAAATTTGAAGACACAGCAATAGAAATTATTGATATTTGGGGCTGGAAAATTCTTTTCCAGGGCTGGGGAGCTGTTATAGGAAATTTCTAACTCTGCCACATAGATGCCAGTAGTACCTCTCCCTCACAGTTGTGAAAACCAAAAATGCTTCCAGACATTGCCAGATGTCCACTGAGGGGCTCAGATGACCTCAGGTGAGAACCATTGGTTTAGTGCAAAGTAATCCCCTTTAACTAGAGCACACTGGCCAGATGGATGCAAATGTTACTGCTTGGTTAACCCATTTAAACAAAGTTAAATCTTGTCTAAATGAATGTAAAGCCCTCACTGATAGTTAAATGTATCTCACTGTTTGTCTTACTGCTAGATACTGTTGGCACATTCTGAATGAGGCAATCAGTGACTTCCTTATATAGGCAATAATTCCTGGGAAATCTCAATAAATTGTCAAAAGACATGCAAAAGAAATGCAAAAGAAAACAGTCTGCTGATTCAGCTTGTAAGTTTCCAGTGACATCGCCTTACTTCCCAAACTAAATAATTCTCTGAGTCCTGTTCCATGATAGGTAGTGACAGTGGGTCAGTGTGGTTTATGTGGTTGTTGATACTCTTGTGCCTCTTTTAGATAATTTTCTAAGAGACAAGACTTTTTTTTTAATTTAATGACTATTCCTCTCCATGACCCTCTGCCCCCTCAAGGATATCAGAGGTTTGTCTTCAGCATTTTTCAGGTTATAATAAGTTATAATTCTAAAAATTAGACTGAAAAGAAAGCCTCAGGTCTTTTGAAAGGAGGCAGAAACAGAACTAGATAAGCCTTTCAAATAGTTGGTATGGTGTATGGATTCTTTTTTTTTTTTTTTTTTTTTTAACAGAAAGAAGAGTAAAAAGAGTCTATAAAATGTATCAATGTAATACTCACTTCTGCTCTCCTGCTTGAAAAGATTTCTATAGTTATTAGAATCTCAAACTGACAGTCTTCACATCTAAGGTTTGGTTGTACTTCAAGCAAACATGCATTGTACAAGATAACAATATAAATTGGCCTTCTGAAAGTAAACAGACCCAAAGAAATATACTAATATTGCAGTGTGCTTTGCTAATTTTAGAGAAAGGTGCTTTATACTTAGTTTAAGAGGAATACTGATACTCAGTATGTTTTGCTTTAAGTCCAAATAGAGACTCCCTCATGAGAAACAGGCTTAAGTTTTTCAAATAGTTTACTTTTTTTTTTAAAAAAAAGTAGGTCTCACTTCTGCTTCCAGCCAATATGGGGTACAGTGACTAGATTTACACTCCCATCTTAAAAATTTTTTAAATCAGGACAAAATATATGAAAGAACAGTTTTCATGACAGTGGACATTAGACAATGGAAGATAGTGATTCCTGAGAGATAAGAAAAAAATTAAATGAGCCCTATGATTGCCCCAGCTAAATGCCTTGAGAGGCATCCAGGGTGTGGCTCAGGGAGGGACAAACCAGGAGATACCCAACAAACTTCTTGAGTTGAAGAGATGGAGCTGAGAGTCTTGGGAGACCAAGGAGGCTAAAGGTCACAGAGTATCAGAGAAGTGAGAGTTGCAAAAAGACCCCCTGACATCTTCCAAGGATCCTCATTATGTATTCTGCAGAGTAGTGATTCGTGCACATATGTGAGGAAACTATCTGAGCCCTGGTGTGAGGGGGATACCCAAAAAGATTAGATGAAAAAGCACCTAGCACTTACACAGGACTTGGAAAAAAAATGGCTGTTTCCATTCAGGCAGAATGGAAAACCTCATAAATCAAGGACACTAGGTAGAGTACTCAAGGTTCTTGCCTTAGTAAGGGAGGATAATTAGCCCTTCATGAAACACTGCTCCAGTCTTGCCTAACAAATCTTAAAAGCAAGGCTTGAAAGGAACAAAGTGTTTCCAAGTCATTTAACTGCATCCCAGAACAAAGCTCAATAATATTTATGAGATTATAAAAATATCCAACACTCAAGAAGTCACATTTATGATATATGGCACCCAATCCAAAATTACTAGACATAAAGAAAATCTGAGACATGGGACTCATAATGAAGAGAAAAATTAATCCAAATAGATAGTACAGAGTTTTGAAACAGATGTTAGAATTAGCAGACAAGGGCATTAAAAGAGTGATTTTTAACTGTATTCCATATTTTCAAAGGCTAAATTGATACCTGGAAGATTTTTAAAAATTCCAAATTGAACTTCTGTAGAGGAAAATGACAATGTCTGAGATGAAAAATATGTTGAATGTGATTAACAACAAATTAGACATTGCAAAAGAAAATATTATAAAGTTAAAGACACAGCAATAGAAATTATCCCAAATAAATGGAGAAAATTATTTTAAATGAGTAGATCATCAGTGGACTTTGGAAATAATTCAAGTTCCTAACATATGTGTAATTAGAATCTCTGAGAGGGAAAGGTGGACAGAATAAAATATTCAAAGAAATAGAAAATTTCCAAATTTGATAAAAGCCGTAAACACACAGATCCAAGAGCTCAACAAACCCAAAACACAAGGAAAAAAACATCAAGGGAAATCATAACTAAATTACCTAAAACAGATGATAAAATAAAAATTTAAAAGCAACCAGAAGTAAAATATATGTTATATATAGAAGAATTAAGATAAAGATGATAGCAGATTTTATATCCAAAATGATGCAAGAGGGGAGCCAGTGGAACAGCCTCTTTAAACTACTGGGGGTAAAAAACTTTTTAAACCCAGAATTCTATTTGCAGTGAATGTATCTTTCACATAGGAAGACAAATTAAGACTTTTAAACATAAAAAAGCAGAGGGAATTTATTACCAGTGAGCCTACAGTATAAGAAATGTTTATGAAATCCTGTAGGAAGGAGAAAAATGATGCCAGATACAAATCTGAATCTACACAAAGAAATGAAGATCACTTTAAATGATAAATTAGTTATCTTTCCACATCCCATGAGTTGGAACATGAGGGTGCCCTGGATATGCACCAAGACATGGAGAAGGACCAATGAAAAGGACCAGGTCCTTGAATTACTGAGGGGAACAGAGCAGCCTGGCAATCTGGATGACCCATCTAGGAACTATTATTGAGAGACAAATAAAAGTCTATGTTTTTAAAGTATCTATATTTTGCAGTTTTACTGATACTACCAATTGTTTCTTAATACAATTATTTTTAAAGCTGTGAAGTTATGTCTGTTACATCAAGATATTTAATTTACTTGGAATTTTTTTCCACATAAAACAAAGTTGATCCAGCATATTCTAATAAAAAGGACACCTTTTTCTCACCTATCTGAAATGCCAACTCTTCTATAAATCTAGCATCTACATATGCACAGCAGCCTTTCTGGATTAAAAGTTCCATTAGTCTATTTGTTTATATGATGGTATCTGCGCACTGATTAGATATGTTTATACTAAGATTCGATATCTGGTAGGGCAAATACTCTAACTTGTCATCTTTCTCAGATATATCTTGAGTCTTTCTACCATACTAAATTTCCAAATAAATTTTAGAGTCAGTTTTTTAAAAGTAGGTGAAAAGGTTATCAGGGGATGCAGCTAGGTCACATTAGTTTCAACCCATCTTTTGATGAGTTAATATATGCAGAAGTCTCCAGCCCCAAGACAAGGGTGGTTCTCAGACTGACTTTTATCCTTACAACCAGAGTGGCAAAGAGAGCCTGGTGGTGAAGGGGTGATAGTTTGGCTACTTGGTAGGCATCTAGGGATCAGGTTTCCTCCCTCCAAGGAACATTCTACATTCCCCTAGAACTAAGGGTATCATCTCCCACTTGTTATCCATTGGCTTCAGCTATTTTGGTGTAGACTGTGTCAATATAACTCCATTACTGTGATCATATTTAATTATATATCAACTCTACATTGAGCACCTTTTCAAGGCATGGACCAGACAATCAGAGAGTAAATTTACAGCATTTAATTTACTTTTCTGAATTTTTAATCAATGCCTATTGACTGTCTCAAGGATTGAATTCTCTATTTTAACTCCATTTTAATAATACATTGGGGAATTCAGCCAGTTTTTTCGACATTTATCACTTAATGTTGAATACCTGCTTTGCTCTAGGTACTATACTAAATGTTGAATATTCAGCAGTAAAGAAATATATATATTACATACATGTATATAATACATATAATTATATATATAATATATATATCTTTCTCTCTATATATATATCTTTCTAACATCTAAAACTGCAAAATATAGATACTTTAAAAACATAGACTTTTATTTGTCTCTCAATAATAGTTCTTAGATGGGTCATCCAGATTGCCAGGCTGCTGTGTTCCCCTCAGTAATTCAAGGACCTGGTCCTTTTCATTTCATCTTTCATAAAGATATATATATATCTTTCTCTAATGGGAAAATCCAACATTTAAACGACATAAACAGAAATATAAATATTTAATTTACAATTATGTTTAATGCTATGAAAGAAACAAATAAGGTTTTATTTAAGAATAACTGGAGGGAGAAAGTGGAGAAAAATACACTCTTCAAGTTAGACCATATTATATACAGATGAAATCTGATTTAACCTGTAACTTAATCAGATTTATGTAGCAAATTAAACATAAATCTTTTCATATACTTAAGCCATTCATTTGTGTATTCCATAGCATTTATGTTCTTTGAGCACTATAATGATCCAGCTATTAGGCTCACAAAAATGACCAGGACTCAGTTCCTGTATTTGAGGAACTCATAGTTTAATTTATTAACTAGCAGTGCCTTTCATTAAAATAATTGCATACCAAATGGAAACAAATGTGTTCCTTTTACTCTTTCATTCTTTTTTAGATGAGGATAGGAATTCACTCGGGCTCCGTGCTGGCTGGAGTTGTTGGGGTGCGAATGCCACGTTATTGCCTGTTTGGAAATAATGTCACGCTGGCAAGCAAATTCGAGTCGGGAAGTCACCCTCGGCGCATCAATGTCAGCCCAACCACTTACCAGTAAGTGTTCCCTGGCCTCCTCCTTCCTGTCTTTGGCTTTGTTTTGGCCTGCTAGTCTGTCATTTGTGAGATCCTGTTCTTTTTCTTGATCCTGTCATTCTCCAAGATATTATGAGTAGAACCACCCAAACCCGAAAGATAGTAATTGTGACACAAACTTTTATTTGCACGCTTTGAGAGTGCATGAAATATCTGACATGACTGAGAGGTAAAATAGGTTTGTCATTTCCCACAGTCTCTGTCCTTCTTAAGTATACCTGTTTAAAATACAGGAAAGCAAATGTTCTTAAGGATCTGCATTATAATAGAAATCTCAGTATTTTCAAACTGTTTATAAAAATGAAAGAAATACGATAGAAATGGTGGTTGGACTGTTTTTATTTTTTTGAATAAATAAGGACTCTTTATACATATATTTTATATATATAAATTATCCCTTACTCAAAATGCTTGGGACCACAAGTGTTTTACAGTTTGAAATTTTTTGAGTTTTGGCATATTTGTGCATTATATTACCTGATGAGCATCCCAAATCTGAAAATCTGAAATCCAGTATGTTCCAAAGAGCATTTCCTTTGAGTGTCATGTTGGTTCTTCAAAATATTTCAGATTTTGGAGCATTTTGGACTTTTGGATTTTGAATGCTGTGCTGTACCAGGTAGAGAGTAAAACATTAAATTCTTTTTATCTTAAAGGTAATCTTTGACAACACTACACATTTTTGCCTCCTGAATTCATTCTTATTTTGTGTCTGGTTTGGCTCATCATTATATCCCCAAACTTATAAAAATGTCTAGCACATAATAAGCACTCCATAAATATTTATAAAATGAATAAATACATTGATAAGATGGACATCTTCAAAATTAACAGCAAAGAAAAGCATGAAAATATCTTACTTTATCACACTTTGGCTTTATTCTGGGCATTACTGTACAGCTACTTAATTAATTTCATGTTTTAGGTAACTTTGAATCATACTGAAAAAAATGTAAAGTAGGAATAGTGGCCATTGATTTTTTTATTGACATGGTTACAAAAAACTCAAGCAGAAAATTTGAATATAAAGATAATAAAAGTTGAATATAATAATAAATAAAATAGTGATATTTTCAAACTTTTGACACCAAATTAGAGGGTAATTTGGTATCAGAAATTTCAGAGAGGGAATTTAAAGTTTTTAGATGAAAAGCAAATACTTCCTGATTCTGCAAAATAGATGAGAAAGAAAACTGAAATTACAAATATAAAATCAAGAGAAAGTTCACATTTAAAAATACATTTAAAGCTCTTGCTAAGCTCATTAAGGTAGTGAATACCTTGATTTTATTGTTTTTGAATAAAGACACATCTCTTACTAATTTTAAGGAGCCCAAGAGATTTTGAGGGCCTCACAAACAACTTCTGGACAAAGTTACAGGATTCTATCTAATCATTACTTATCTGACAACTATCTGCTATTTTCAGGATGTTTATAAGAGGATTTGCATCTTTTAAACTTCTCCCAATTTTCCCAGCACAATTCTGGGCATATTACAGATGATCTGACAATAATTACCATATCAAATTGAATTTTGTCAAATTCTCTAGCAGAGATCAGTGAGTCCAATACTTTCTGCTCTATACGATGAAAAACAGCTACTGAAGATCAGCTACCTCACTCATATCCTATTACGTGGTTCCATTTATTCCCATCATGGTACTGATACTTATTTTCCATGTTTGTGTAACTTAGTGTAGATTTATGTCTTCTGTGACAGCTTCACTTAAAAAAAAAAAAAAAAAAGATGTGTAAAAGAATAGGCCCAACCTGTGTGAGGAGTTCATGCCCTGAGCGTAGACATCATTAACAGTAGCTGGCCTTGTTTACATAGTGATGGATAGAAAAACCTCTGCCAGCCACACAAGTCTGTGCATTTTGGTAGTGACTCAGAGTTTTTGTAGTCTTTTTCACAGTTAGTTTATGATGATCCTTAGTGATTAACAAGGTCTGAGGAATGAAATCATTTCAACTGCATACACTGAAGCTTACTGTTGTGTTATTGTTTTGCACCTTCACCCCCAGGCTCCCTAAAATCAAACAGAGCCATAGATAGACACATTGAGCTGACAGGTGGGTAGATTCTTAGAATAAATATAATTTATGAAGTAAAACCCAGTATTAAGCTCATGAGAGTTTGAAATCTTCTATTTTATCCCTGAATTACGTTCTGTAGAATGTCCAACATTACCTGTTTATCTTGAAATCTTCACAGAGGTTTTTATCCTGTTTATTTTTAGTAAAACTATATGATTATAAACTTTGGAAGTGGACTGTTTTGATATTATGATAAATTGAAATCATTTTTTGAATGATTCATTCCAAATGCATTTTGTCTGAAATATTCAAATAATTTTAAAAATATTTTTATAACTATTATGGAGTACTGAAAAGATAATATAATATCCATGATCCCACCACAGTTAAACACTTTATATTTTGTTCAGATATTTTTTAATAAAAATGAACAAAACATTTTCTTTGAAATTTTCTGAATCTTTCATTGTGACAGCCTAATGAGTTTGGTGTGTTTCAAAGTCCCATGTTTGGTTTTTTCTTTTTTTTTTTTTTTTGAGACGAGTCTCACACTGTCTCCCAGGATGGAGTGCAGTGGCACAATCTCCGCTTACTGCAACCCCGCCCCCCAGGTTCAAGCGATCCTCTTGCCTTAACCTCCCAAGTAGCTGGGACTACAGGCACGTGCCACCACGCCTGGCTAATTTTTTGTATTTTTAGTAGATACAAGGTTTCATCTTTTTAGCCAGGTTGGTCTCCATCTCCTGACCTCATGATCCGCCTGCCTTGGCCTCCCAAAGTGCTGGGATTACGGGCCTGAGCCACTGCACACTGCCCCAGTCCCATGTTTTGTATATTAACTTTCTACATATGTATCCATGAACAATATAATTTTATTTTACATGTTTTAATTTTCATAAATGGTATTTTACTGTATGACTGTTTCACTAACTTTGGTTTCTTTTAAACACAATTTAATACTTTTAAGATCTATCCATGTTGGAACATCTTTCTTTGGAAGTTTCAAAGAAAGAATGGGTTTGATAATTTGGTCAAAGGTGCATTTTGAGCTGTAACTAGGAGCTGAGATAGTAATCAGTTTATTCCTATGTGTTTTTATTAACAAAAGTCCCTTACTGATGACTGTCTAAATCACAGACAGCTCTAGCTCATCATTTTAATTGCTGTATGACATTCCAGTCATACATGGTATGACTCCACCATATTTTAATATTTCATACATATATTCCACTGTTGATGAACACTTAGGTATATTTTCTATTTTTTAATTATCACAAAGTTTGTTCCTATGAACATTATTTACCTGACATTACAAAAAAGAAATTTTTATTGAGTTTTAAGTTTTCCAAATCAGACATTTTCATTTTTCTTCAATAAATACGTTTACACACATTTTTGTTCCTATCATCCCAATGATGGGATAAGTTTTTTATGGGATATGGATTTTAAATAGTGCATATTTTTAAACAGTGCATATAACATAATCACATGATTAACTGAATTATGTACCTCTGCTTAAATGTGGGAATCATATATGTATATCTCTATATATATGATTACTAAGTAATCATTAGTAAGTAATCATATATATGTAAGTATGTAATCGTATAGTATGTAATTAATTAGTAAGTAATCATATATATGTGATTGCTTACTAAATTACTTACTGTTGGCTTCAACAACACAAACATTATTTTATAGTTCTGTAGGGCACAAGTCTGACACAGGTCTCACTTAGCTAAAATCAGTGTGGGCGTCATGAGACCTTCATTCTTTGCTGAAAGTTCTAGGCGATAACATGCTTTCTTGAGTTTTCCAGCTTTGAGGCCACTCTCATTCCTCTGTTCGGAACCTCCTTCTTCCATTATCACAGCCAGTAATAGTTCATCTTTCTCATTCTGCTTCCATCATCACATATCTTTTCCTGACTCTTCCTCCCTCTTCTACTTTTAAGGACTCTTGTGATGATGTCAGACCCACTGGATAATCCATGATAATTTCTCTATTTTAATGTCATCTGATTAGCAATCTTAATTCCATCTGCACCCTTAATTCATCATTGCCATGTGTATCAGTCAGGGTTCTCTAGAGGGACAGAACTAATAGGATAGATGTATGTATAAAGGGGAGTTTATTAAGAAGTATTGACTCACAGGATCACAAGGTGAAGTCCCACAATAGGGCGTCTGTAAGCTGAACAGCAAGGAGACAGTCTGAGTCCCAAAGCCAAAGAACTTGGAGTCCAGTGTTCAAGGGCAGGAAGCATCCAGCATGAGAGAAAGATGTAGTCCAGAAGACTAAACTAGTCTAATCTCTCCATGTTCTTCTGCCTGTTTTTATTCTGGCTGTGCTGGAATAGACTAGATTGTGTCCACCCAGCTTGAGGGTGGGTCTGCCTTTCCCAGTCCACTGACTCAAATGTTAATCTCCTTTGGCAACACTCTCACAGACACCTCCAAGAACAACACTTTGCATCCTTCAATTCAATCAAGTTGACACTCAATATTAACCATCACACCATGAGACCTAAAATATTCACATTTTTCAGGGATTGGGATATGGACATCTTGGGAGGTGGGGGTTATTCTTCCTACAACAAGGGAAAATTTAAATGCTAAAACCTGCCTGGAAATATAGCCCCAATCTTACTTCTACATACCTCTCTTTGAGGACTTTAAAAAAACAACAACAACGTATAAATTATGTAAGCAAAATCTGGGGAGGAAAAAGAACTTTCACAAATGAGACCTCTGGCTTGTAAAGGATTTTTACTGGGACTTAAGATATAGATTCCTGAAGACAGGAATCTAGTACAGGACTGAATTATATTTCTATATTTAAGAAGCAGTAGAGCCCTTGGCTTGAGAAGACTAAGAAGCTATCCTGAGACATAAGTAATTTTTATAAAGATGACTACAGTCCT